CATGTTGCTTGGTCATGTTGCTTGTGCCCATTTGTTCATTATGTTAATAAGTTTATTATTATACTGACCTCGGTTATTGGTTATTCTGGAGGTTGTATAGGTATGCCAGGGGCAATTTGAGGCCGGTCTCTAGACCGGTGACCCCCAGCAGCGTCAACATCGCGCGTGCATGGCCATCTGATTGACACCTGCCTGCGGCCATCTTGGTGATGGACGCCAGCATAGAGAGGAGAGGACGTTAACCCGCCGGGTCCCCTCCTCTCTTCTGACACTGTCAGTCATTTTGGTGTCACCCCTGCAATGGTGACACCCGGGTGCAGGCAGCACCCTCCCGCACTCCCCTTGTGATGCTACTGGGGTATGCCTATAAACTTGGAGACCACAGGCATCTCCACCCGACACAGTAAAGAAGAGCTCCGGGCAGAATAGAACTTAACCCTTGCAGTGGAGCTATCCCATGCACTGCAAGGGTTAAGAGCGTGTTTTGGTCTGGGGTCTAAAATAACAAAGATATACTCACCTGATCCTCAATCCCACCTGTGTGCTAGACCGGCCCCTCCACTCCAAATGATGGAATGTTCGTGGGCGTCCTTACATCCAATACACTGTATTAGATGCGGTGACGCACAGGACCTTAGGGGGAGAGTGGCTGCAGGGACCAGCCTAGCATCCAGCTGGAGCCGAGGTGAGTATATCTCTGTTAAATTAGTCCCTAGACCAAACCTGCAAGGGTTAAGTTTTATATTGCCCAGAGTTCTTCTTTAAATTGGCAGCTTTCATTAAAGTCACAGCTGGTGATCCAGCCTTGAAGGTCCCTGTTCAGGCACTTCTTGTTATAGGGTGACAATACTCTGTCCCTGTCTAACAATCGCATTGTCACCTTGTCACATGGGCTTCTGATGGAGACCACAATTGGCCATTTAATATTCATTACACAGACATGGTCCACCGTTGTCACCATCCAGAAACCCACCCTTAGAAAGGCCATGCAGCCATTGCTGGAGTGCATGTAGACAGGACATGGTGGCAAAGCAGCTGTAGGAGATTAGCAGCACTGAGATGTATCAAAATAAGGGGCAGTCATTTATGTTACACAGAGCTTCAGCAAACTAAACATCATCAAATTAAGGTTTTCATCTACTTAAAGGATCCTAAAAGGTTACATAGGCATTGGGTGAATGCAAAGTGTTGCTCATGCATTGAAGAATAAATTCAATTTAGGGACAATTCATAACAGTAATTCTTCTTATTCGGTGTTCTGTATTTACTATATGAAGAAGAATCACAATATATATTATTATCACTCCTATCCCCAATACAGACCACTGACAGTGCACAGCAATGTTACCTTTAACAAAGGCAGCAGCCCTATAGGAACAATGGGGTTTAAAGGAACAGTGTAAAATGGGCGGTAGACGTGAGCTTTCTGTTCATCACCGCGTAGAATGAAATGCTGTAATGATTTTCTGACTGTTACCAACTCACAAAGCCACACTATCGAGCTGCTAAGTACATGGCCTACATTGGCTGCACAATAGCACAGCGGCAGTATTTAGGTCAGACAAGGCACTTCTTGCAACGTCTAGTCCAGAGCCGGCGCTCCCTATATTATAGACAGGGGAGCATACATGGATTTTCAGGGTCAGTGGAGTTCACAGCAGACACCGCCACATACACGTGCTCTGCAGGCAGGAGAGCTAAAGCTGCTTCTGTGTAATAAATGGAAAAAAATAGTCACACGTAGCCCCTAATACAACTTTCCCCGAAGTTCACTCTTATTTTTATTTTATGAGAAAGAGACAGGAAATAAGGAGAGCGGAGAAGAGGCGATGATGATGTCTGATAGATAAAGAGACACCTAGAATGGCTTGTTCTCTGTATGGAGGAGCAGAAACTGTTTATTTAGCTTAAAGTGCATGTACAGAATTTAAAATGAAACAATGTAACATAGAAAGTGATGCAGCTTTAAAGTGACACTAAACTCAGGAGTTAAATCTTAAAAATACATTCAAGTCCCTTAACTATTGTTAAATAAGATACATTTTTGTTCATAGTTAAGGTACTTGAATGTATTTTTATTATTTAACTCCTGAGTTTAGTGTCACTTTAAGTAGCAAAGACCATTCTATTTCGCTACTTTGTCATTGCTCTACTGCCAAACATACCAGCAGGTCTGCATAAGGGTGACAACGTACTGTGTTGTCACACTTTAGTCTTCACAGCCGCCACTGGACTACAAGGCTGCGTCATATCAGCCCAAAGGCTGTATGGGAAATGTGGCACTGCTGCCTCCCCACCCACTGGTTTGCCAAGGCTGTGCAAGAAGAAAAAGGAAGTGGTCACATGACCGCTTACAACAAGAAAAAAAGAACCTTGTGGCCATTTTAAAATTACAATTAGATTAGGAGTAACCGCAGAGCCGGCCTTGCTTGTGGAAGTATATTCAGATTAGGACTGGCTACTGCTTTAATAAATAAGGCGAAGCAGTGTCAACTTTGTATTGATAAGTGCAACACTTTTTATTCTTCAAAACACTCAAAGGATTGAACCGCACCTCCGCAGCACACAAGCAGCGTAAAACCAGGTGTTTACCGGCTGGAGCTCGTCCCTACTCCCACGTTAGCTGCGGTCAAAACAATAAAACATCCGGCCGCACTCCATGTGTCGCTGGAAACTTCTTTTTATTAAAATAACACAGTTATACAAAGTCCTGCCTCGCGTCTGCCCCCCTAACGTGTTTCACCCAATCCTGGGCTTAATCGTAGAGTTATTTTTCATGATTATTATTAATATTTATAGTAATAATAATAATAATAACAACAACAATAATAACATATATTTATGTATTTATTGTTGTTGTTATCATTATTATTGTTATTTGTTCCTGTTCTTAATTAATGTAATATTATCTTTAAATAGCAATAAAGGGTAATGCAGAGCATTTAGATATATATAATGTTACCAAAGAACCAAGACAGAGAACATACGGTAGGTAAATAAAGTAAAATAAATACGAGTTAAATGAAAGTAAATAAAAGTGATACAAATATACAATAGGGGGAGAGAAAGAGGGAGGGAGAGAGAGAAAGAAAGAGAATGAATAACTGAGCAAAAAACACATATGCTTTGGTTTTATGAAGAAGTAGAGAAAGTCGTCCTTTCCTAATTATATGAAAGGTAAATTGAATTAAAAAATGTGCTTTCTGGCTTGCACTTGGTTGGATGATTGAAGTGAACACAGCTTTAGCTTAATCACTAAACTAAGCAAACGATAACGTTGTTAGATGAACAGTCTTTATTGCTTTAGTAAATAAACCCGTTGTATTTTATTATAATATACATATAAACATTTTATATATTATGATATATGTAATATGTTATAACTTTGACATTGTTATGACAAATATAGATCCTTTCTAGAGAAAACTTGACAGGTTTATAGCGTGTTTAATTTATTTTATTAGCAAACTAGATGACGTTATCATCATCATTATTATTATTAATATTTATAACTGTCAATCTTTATTAAAAGAGCAAATATCTTTATTAAAAAGGAAAAAATCTTAAAAATAAATAAATCTTTATTAAAAAGGGTGCAGGTATACAAGTCAATACTTAGACATAAGGTACAGAGAGGAACAAGAGGAGAGAACTCATCAAGATAACATCCAAAAAGTACTGTTCTGAGCATAAGACAATGCAGCATCATGTGGAGGATCTTGATAACAGAGTTACATCCCGTGACTGTATTAACCAGCAGAATATTATTATTGTTATTATTATTTAAAATACAGTGGGGGCAGCACACTGGTGTAGTGGTTAGCACTTCTGTGCTTATGTGGGTTTCTTCTGGGTACTCCGGTTTCCTCCCACACTCCAAAGACATACTGGAAGGGTAATTGGCTCCTGTCTAAATCGGCCCTGTATGTATGTATGCATGTGAGATAGGGACCTTAGATTGTAAGCTCCTCGAGGGCAGTGACTGCTGTGAATGTGCACTGTGTAAAGTGCTGAGTAAATTGTCAACGCTATATAAATACCTGTAATAAATAAATACAGTGTAGTTCTGGGACCCATCATCGGTCAACCAGTGGGGGAAGGACACCTCCATTAATATTATCTCCTGAAAAGTAGTGAAGTGACTTAATGAGCCAATCAGTGACGAAGGCCCTGTCCAGTAGGGTTTAATAGTTGAGTGACATCATCAGTGGGAGAGATCCTCCAGTAGAGTGATCGTCATGATGCAATAAGAGAGGGAGATCACCAGCTAGTCAGGGAAGTGACTAGCTACAGTAGAGGCTTGACGTACTGAATCAATAGTGAAGATCATCTTCAGTAGAATTGTGTGATGAAGTGACGTCCTCAGCCAATCAGAAGCTCTAGCAGGGGCCAGGTGTTAAAATGATATCATCGGTCAGTGAAGGAGGTCATTTCTAATAGTTGAGCAATGAAGAGAGAGAGCGCGGTGTAACTTATTTTGCTATTGTTTGCCTAGGGGTGCTTTTTCACTGCAGCTGTCACTATTTTTGCAATTTTGAAGGGTGTTAAAGCCATTAGCGCGAATATTTTTGTTTATTAATGAAGAGATCTCATCAGCCAGCGAGAGCGATCGCCTAGAGTAGACATTAGTCATTAGGATGAAAGCTTTCATTGCCCCCAAATTTTGCCATTTCGTTGAAATATATTGGAATCAATTGGGATGGTGAAATTAGGGTGCGTTTTGGTGGTTTTCAAAAGTTCAATGGACTGTAAGGTGACCCTGTCATCACAAGTACCGTTACCTTTCAGGCCGCCGGTGTCTTCAAACACTGCCACTTTGTTGCGCATCTGCCGGTGCAGGTATTCAGTACCTCTGTGTGTGTTGAATACTCCCCCCCCCCTCCCACTGCAAGAAAGACATTGGAGGTAGTACACAAATCACATTGAAAAAAACACATAAAAGAAGAACTCATCAATACAAATAACATGTGAAAAACTAAACGTAACCACCTTAAATACACCAACACAACATAACCTCTTAAAGAAGAAATAAAAATACTACATTCGTAAAAAGAACCTTCTAGGGTAGATATTTAAATATTCATTTTGTTTACTTTAATGTAAAAATCATAAATTTGCAGTAAATTGAATTTCACTGAAATCCCTATGAGTAAGTGGGCAAGGTTCGCTCCAGCATGGAGTAATAAAGCGCCGTCATCAATGGCCACCCAATTGAGTGACGTCACCAGCCAGCCCTAGAAATAGGTCGGCACCATGAGCAGGCAGCAGTAGCAGCATCGTTCCCCCTTGTTATGGCTCGCTATCACAGCTTAACTGACGGAGTCATTTAGTTAGAGGAAATGAGTTGCTCCCAGTAGAGGAAGGCAGCCGGGCTGATGAATGGCTCTCTCATCTGGCGATCTCCAGAGCTCGTTTAAGGCTAATTTTCTGTATGAGCCCCCTTTGAGCTATTAATGCAATAGTCAGGGAGCGTGGCCCCTCTTCCCTAACTGGACCATTAGCAGCAGCAGCAGATCCCGGGCAGATAATGAAAGGGGCACTTAAGATCTGCTAATATGTGTTGGTGGAGGGGGGTTAATACGATTTGGAGGGGCTGGTCAATGAGCAATCAATAAGGCAATAATGAGAAGGATCCGCTACATTAACACATCCAGATTCCGAGGAGACATTAAGACATCATTGGCGGAATTCTTTTGCCTGTCATTACATGGAGAGGAGGAGGAGGAGAGGGGGGGGGATTTTTAACATAATATTTACCATGCCTCATGTGTCTACATTACTAACTGCATTACACGTCCAGCAGCCCACATTACATGTGCACACTGATCAATGGATAAGACACATATGGGATGGAGAGAGAGAGAGAAAGGAAGAAAAAAAAGAAAAAAATTAGAAAGAAAGGAAAGGGGAATAAAAGGAAAGGAGATAGAAAAAGGAAAGGAAAGAAAAATAAAGAAAGAAAGAAGAGAAAAGGGACAGAAAGAAAAGGGGAATTAAAGGAAAGGAAAGGAAAGAAAGAAAAAGATAAGAAAGAAAAAAAGGAAAAGGAAAGAAAGAAAAACAATAAAGGAAAAGAAAAGAGAAGGAAAGGAAGGAAAAAAAAGGAAAGAAAGGAAAATAAAAGAGAAGGGAAGGATAGGAAAGAAAGGAAAATAAAAGAGAAGGGAAAGAAAGAAAGAAAGAAAGAAAAGAAAGAAAATAAAACAGAGAAAGAAAGGAAAGAAAAGAAAAGAGAAGGAAATGAAAGGAAGAAAAAGAAAAGAATAGAGAAGGAAAGGGAAGGAAAGCTTGAAAAACAAAGTAAAAAAAATAAAAATAAAAGAGAAGGAAAGAAAGAAAGAAATGGAAATCAGACATTTTTATTGAAAAAATATATCAATATCTATATTCAGTATGTTATTAATATTGTATTATCTTTATTTCTAATGATCTATCTATCTATCTATCTATCTATCTATCTATAGATCTATCTATCTATCTATCTATCTATCTATCTATCTATCTATCTATCTATCTATCTTCTATTCTATCTATCTATCTATCTTCTATCTATCTATCTATCTATCTATCTATCTATCTATCTATCTATCTATCTATCTATCTATCTATCCAAATCCAAGTAGATATAGAGGCACTCACGGGTCTTGCAGCGGAGATAAGTCAAAGCATCAGCGTTTTATTGTCAATGTGTTGATGGAGCTCTGTCCATCTTTTTCAAGACTTTTAATGTGTATATATATATTTTTGTGGATGTGCACCTGGGCATTTACCTTATAAACAAAGTGCGGTGACTACTGCTACTGCGGTAGATCTATCTATCTATCTATCTATCTATCTATCTATCTATCTATCTATCTATCTATCTATCTATCTATCTATCTATCTATCTTCTATCATCTATCTATCTATCTATCTATCTATCTATCTATCTATCTATCTATCTATCTATCTATCTATCTATCTATCATTCCTTGCTCTCTCTTTCCTCTTTTTAATCATGTAATATCTGTGTATTTTGTTGGGTTTTTTCCATAGTGGTTGATGTTGTACTTGTACATTTTTAGCTACTCTTTTACCCCCGGCTCTACTATGCATTGGGCATGATGGCCATTTTAGTTCCACAGGAACTGGAGAGCTACAGGCTGTAAAAGACTGCTTTGGTTGGCACAGGCATTGGGCGAATAAATCTGTCCTTTGGGGCTGGGAGGAAGGGGGCAGTCCCTCTACACCTCCTACATCCCTGCTCTGCTTCAGCATGCTGAGGGTTAATACGCTGGCAGTGCGGTTTGTTGTCCCCTCTGGGTACTGGCAGTGTGGTGGGGAAGGGGTTAATGTCAGCATGGCAGGAAGGAGCGGTATTTGCCCCCACTGAGTGTTTGCCATGCTCCATTTCCTTTCTATTTCCTGTTATCCTGGGGAACGCTGCGCCCATAATTATCAGCAAACCCGAGCAAGCTGCCCGCTGCCCTTAACTGCTGAAAAAGCCAGTCTGGCCAACTGCAGGTCTGCCAATCACGCTGCTTTAACCCCGTGTATGCTGCACGGCCACAAGCACACTGGAGGTGTATTCACACTGGGGGTTTATTAACTTTGCAAAGTGAATGCTCGCTTAGCTTGGTGAATAACGTAAAGCCATATTCACTGCAATCATCTACTTATGCGCAAGCAGATATCCTTTTTTATCTATGTCATATCCATGACTGAGCATTCAAAGTGAATTTCTGCATATCCTATCACCTTATTTACTAAGCTACATGAACATTCCTTACCCCTTAACTGCTTGAAGACCAGGTGTTTAGATCCCCTACCTGGCCAGGCCATTTTTCAGTGTTCAGCGCTGCGGTACTTTGACTGACATTTATTCCGTCATGCAGCGCTGTACTGAAATGAATTTTATACCATTTTTTGGGGACAGATAGAGCTTTCTTTTGGTGGTATTTAATCACCACTGGGGGTTTTATTTTTTACTATATTCAGGAGAAATTACTGAAAATGTTGAGAAAAAAACGTTTTTTTTTACATTATGCTATAAAACAACTAATATTACCCACTTTTTTGGTAAAATATAAAAGATTGGGTCACGTCGGGTAAATAGACACCAAACATGTCAAGCGTAAAAATTGCGCGCACTCGCAAAATCGCAAAAAACTAGCATACCCAAAATTGGCCATAG